CCTGATAATGTGTTACCGAAAACATTGGTTTGCCAACTGACTCTTCACAAGAATACTGCTGGGAGCATCTGAGTAGAGAAATCGCAACCGATGCACACTGATATTCATACTGAACTGAGACAATTTGTTTTTATTATGGCTCGGTGAAAGGAGCCAGATTGCTAGCAGGCGCTAGGGCAACGACGAGCACTCAATAACCGGAAGGTTCTCACACCCAATAGGAAGTGAGATTAAGACAGGGGACAGGTAATTTTGCGGTTCTCGGATACAGAGTGGACGGGATATACGAGGAAGTACGCGCACGGACACACCGCTAACAAGTCGGGCTGAGTATTCGCAAAGCAGCTGAAAATTCTCGAGGCCTTGTCAGTGGCCCAACGTCAAATTCGCCAACTCACGGGCCTTACGCTATAATGACAGATGCGCCTGTTTAGAAGTTTAGTCATAGGTGGACGAGCGGGGCAGATACTTGTGAAACAGGCATACTCGTCTCAGCTTCCTCTATCATACTAAGTAACGGTCCCTGATTACTGGGAGTCATATGGAGTTTCTAGGGTTGCAGATCAAAAACGCAAAGCAATCAGACAAGATTGATAAATGGCACTGCCAATTGGCTTAAGGTACCCATGACCACGGTCGACAGAGGACCAATCCGGAGATTAAAGGGCAGAACCGAAAATGGAATAGTCAAGACTGACTACTGACATTAACGCATAACGTACTACTTTAACTTACTCAGTAGGTTTTTAATACGAAATTACATTTAGCAGGGTACATTGATTCCTACACTATTGTCACTGTATGGGTACCTGGTAGGTAAAAAGAAGAAGAGGCAATCGATGAGCCAATAGGTTCATTGGCATGAGACTTCGGATTCCCATTTAAACCAATCATTAGAAGCAGTCACAGATAAAGATAACGGAGGCGCAGGGAGCATATCGTTTATAAGACACAGTCGCTATGCCTCCACAAGCCAACTATGATTAGCGGCACTTTCATTTATCACTAAGGGTCTTATATTTCGATGAGTACCTGTTTCGTCGTGCCCGAGTTCCCGAAGACCGTGATTTCATCACCATTCTTGACTTTTGGCGCGACGATTAGTCCCCAATTTGACTCTCAGTCACCCATGCACTCCCCGCCGCGTG